AAACCCCACCCTTCTAGCACTGATAACATTACCTAGTTGGGTAATGAAACGTCTGCAAGAAAACCGCCAGCTCAGAGAGCACCAAGGACCCCAAAGTCCTTTTCCTCCTCCTCCTCCTCCCCCTCCCCCTCCCCCCCCCTCCCCCTCCCCCTCCCTCCCCCTCCTCCTCCTCGTGTCCCTGGGCCCTGTGATCCGCTTTTGGGACCTTCTGACAAGCAAAATCAATGGGGAAGTCAGATTCACTTAACAACCGTATAACTAACTTTAACACGTGCTGTGATTCACTTAACAACCCCAGCTGGAAAGATCGTTAAAAACGGGCCAAAAACTCACCGAATAACTCTCTCGCTCCACAACAGAAGTTTGGGGGGTCAATTGTGGCCCTAAGTCTAAAGACTACCTCTATTTGCATGTTATCCCTGACGGCGTTCTTTGAGCCCCCTTAGAAATTAATTTAGAAAACAGAAATCAAATTAAGAAATAAGAATATAAAGCGAAATTAGATATTAACATACTGGATATAAATGTAAATAACGACCCTACTAAGAAAACAGTTCATTATGAATATTTAAAAATAAAGAGAAGGAACGGGAGGATAAAAGCTAAGAGGAAAGACAAAAGTCGAGGCAGAAAGTTATAAAATTGTATATATCTGTGGTTAATATTTTAACATCTGATCTGTGTGTGTGTTTTTTTTGTTGTTTTTTTGTGTTGTTCGGTTCTAAAATGTAAAATACTCTATAAAAATTATTATTATTATTATTATTATTATTTATTTTTTTTTAATTTGATTTATATGCCGCCCTTCTCCGGAGACTCAGGGCGGCTTACAATGCGCTAAGCAATAGCCTTCATCCTTTTTGTATATTTTTATACAAAGTCAGCTTATTGCCCCCACAATCTGGGTCCTCAATTTACCTCCCTTAGAAAGGATGGAAGGCTGAGTCAACCTTGAGCCTTGGCGAGATTCGAACCTGCAGTAATTGCAGGCAGCTGGTCTTAATAACAGGGTGCTTTAGACCACTGTACTACCAAGGCTCTTGTAGATTAATTTTAATTTTATAGATTAAAAAAATAGAAATTAATTTACAAATTAGATACCGAATTCATCTCGTGCGGGCAAGAACCTCGGCCCTTGCAAGCTGTTTTGTTTGTGAATTTTTGCATATTTTGCTATAATTTTCTTGGTGAGAGAGAGAGCCAAAAGCCAGAATTTCCCTTTCCGCCAGTTTCTTTGTTCAGGCAGGGGGAAAAAGGAAGTGGAGGAAAATCATGCCAGGGTTAAAACCTGCCCCTTTGTGTGTGTGTGTGTGTTTGTGTATTGTGTATGTGTTGCCTGTACTCTGAACAAATAGCTTTACGATTAACCTAACCAGTTGTTATTCTCCACCCAGCGGCAGCTAAGTCTGTCTGTTTGATAACCAACGGAATGTAAAAAATGAACAATTACGGCTGAATTATTATTGTTGTTGTTTATAAAAAGGATTTACTTCAGTTTTTCTCCTCTTGGGTACACACACACACACACATACACACGTACTCCTCGACTTACAACCACAATTGAGCCCCAAATTTACGTCGCTAAGCGAGACGTTTGTTCATTTTGTCCCGTTTTACGCCCTTTCTTGCCAGAGTTGTTAAGTGAATCACTGCGAGGGTTAAGCTAGTAACATGGTTGTTAAGTGAATCTGGCTGCCCCCCCTCCGCCCCCCACCGACATGGCTTGTCAAAAGTCCAGGATATTGCAACGGTCGTAAATACGAGTCAGTTGCCAAGCATTTGTTAAGGGACTTACGACCGTTTTTCACACTTACGACCCCCGTAATTCCCCGTAATTCAAATATCTGAATTACGACAATTCAGACACTTGGTAACTGACTCACATTTATGACGGTCAGAGTGTCCCCGGGGGTGGGGAGGGGTGTGTCACGTGATCCCCATTTTGCGACCTTCCGACAAGCAAACTCGACCGGGGGGTGGGGGGAAGCCAGATTCGCTTAACGACCGGGTTACCAACTCATCAGCTGCGAGCGATCCACTTAACGACGGTCGTACGATGGGGCAAACCTCACCGAACGCGCCTCTCACTTATTAGCAACAGAAACAGTTGGGCTCCATTGCGGTCGTAAGGTGAGGACTTCCTTTGGGAAATCCTTCCCTTCGGCACCCTTCGGTCAGAACTTGAAGAAGCTTCTTGGCCGGGAAGCAAAACATCTTCAAAAAGGAGGGAAAAAAAAATCCCCCAATCACATCCACTAAACCTTGGTAGTACAGTGGTCTAAAGCACCCTGTTATTAAGACCAGCTGCCTGCAATTACTGCAGGTTCGAATCTCGCCAGGCTCAAGGTTGACTCAGCCTTCCATCCTTTCTAAGGTAGGTGAAATGAGGACCCAGTTTGTGGGGGGCAATAAGCTGACTTTGTATAAAATATACAAAAGCATGAAGGCTATTGCTTAGCACATTGTAAGCCGCCTGAGTCTCCGGAGAAGGGCGGCATATAAATCAAATAAAAAAAATAAAAAATAAACCAGTGTTTCTCAACCTTGGAAGCTTGAAGATGGGTGGACTTCAACTCCCAGAATCCCCCAGCCAGCAATTCTGGGAGTTGAAGTCCACCCATCTTCAAGCTTCCAAGGTTGAGAAACACTGAGCTCAAACACTTCTCCAGCTCCAATTTACAAATGCAACAATTTACAAGGGCCGCTAACACTTAAATATTAAATTAAATTAAATTCTTTTAATTTTCCAACGTTATAGGCAGATTCAACCATCAGTTTCAATGGGGAAAAATGCAAACCCGTCCTAAACCGAGCCCTGGCCCAAATGAAAAACTTAGCTGGTCTGATAAGAGGGTTTCCCCTCCCCCACCCTCCATTGACCTCTTTTCGAATGCAAATCTCTTTTATCACCAAAAGCCAGCTAAAAACTTCATGGCCTTGAAGGATCTCCTTTGTGCTGGAGGGGCCTAGTCTGCTCTTTGGAAGGCATCCCCAGGTTGAAGTTGATTGCATTTAGGACAATCACGTCAGGCGTATTCCGTATTCCACTCCTTCCTAGCGCTGATGATGTTAGCTAGTTGGGTAATAAAACGTCTGCTGATGAAGTACCAAGCTCAGAGAGTACCAAGCCCCCCTCCCAGTCCTTCTCCTCCCCTCCTTCTCCTCCTCTACCCCACAAACCCCATTCCCTTCTAGCACTGATGTTGTTAGCTAGTTGGGTAATAAAACGTCTGCTGATGATAGTACCAAGCTCAGAGAGCACCAAGCCCCCCCCCAGTCCTTCTCCTCCCTCCTTCTCCTCCTCACCCCACAAACCCCATTTCCTTCTAACACTGATGATGTTAGCTAGTTGGGTAATAAAACGTCTGCCGACGAAGCACCAAGCTCAGAGAGCACCAAGCCTCCCCCCAGTCTTTCTCCTCCCCTCCTTCTCCTCCTCCACCCCACAAACCCCATTTCCTTCTAGCACTGATGATGTTAGCTAGTTGGGTAATAAAACGTCTGCTGATGAAGTACCAAGCTCAGAGAGCACCAAGCCCCACCCCCAGTCTTCTCCTCCCCTCCTTCTCCCTCCACCCACAAACCCCATTTCCTTCTAGCACTGATGATGTTAGCTAGTTGGGTAATAAAACGTCTGCTAACAACAAGCTCAGAGAGCACCAAGCCCCCCCCAGTCCTTCTCCTCCCTCCTTCTCCTCTCCACCCCACAACCCCCATTTCCTTCTAGCACTGATGATGTTAGCTAGTTGGGTAATAAAACGTCTGCTGAGGAAGTACCAAGCTCAGAGAGTACCAAGCCCCACCCCCCAGTCGTTCTCCTCTCCTCTCAAACCCCATTTCCTTTTAGCACTGATGATGTTAGCTAGTCGGGTAATAAAATGTCTGCTAACAAACCACCAAGCTCACACAGCACCAAGGGGTCCCCAAACATTGTCCTCCCCCCCCCAACTTTTCCATTCCACAAACCCCATTTCCTTCTAGTACTGATGATGTTACCTAGTTGGGTAATAAAAGTCTGCCGACGAAGCACCAAGCTCAGAGAGCACCAAGGCCCCACAGTTGTCCTTCACCCCCTCCTCCTCCTCCTCTCTGCCTTTTAGCACTGATGGTGTTACCTAGTTGGGTAATAAAACGTCTGCTCACAAAGCACCAAGCTCAGAGAGTCCCCAGCAATTCCATTTTCGTCTGGCTTTCTCTACGACAAAATGAGCTAATCTCATCTTACCACCCGGTTTCTTCAGCCCTATTTTAGTATCTGATGGAAGAAGGGTGGGAAAGTTACAGCTCCAAAGCCCCCCGGCCCTTCCACGTTGCAGTTTTCTTTCCTGCCTTTTCCGAAGGTATTGCGTGATTTTAGAAGAGACCAACGTCTCTCCTTTTAGGGAATGTGCAACCTGACTCAGCACGTCGAGGAAATCCGAATGAGGAATTTTGCAATTTGACCCTAACACGTTTCCGGAAGCGGAATGGCGGTTACCTGCAGCCCAGGTGAAACTCTCCGCACCTGGAAAGCAGGTGGAAGAGCCCCATCTTTTGCTAACCGATGATGTTTCTCTTCCTGGGTTTTCGGCCTGATTCAGAGATCTCCGTTTTCGCCCCGAGGATTGCTTGCGGCCACGTTTTGACTTGATTTCGCCGTGCCAAAACTTGTAATTAGCTGCTTTCAGACTTCAGTCGCCTCTGCCTCTCTCCAGTTCCTCTTCAGCAGGGCTGCGAGAGCTGAGCTGTCACACCCTTCTGCTTTTTTTTTTTTAGTGTACAAAGCACTTTTCTTTTCCTTTTTTTGGGGAGGGGGGCAAGTGGTCTTTTGATCCACTCGAGATCCACCAATAATGATTTTTAACTATGGGACAAAAATCAGGGGCCTCGCTTAAACGCTTGAATTGGAAACGTGGTTAAAGAGGGAAGGTAATTCTGTTGACGTCAATCCCAGCAACTTTTTTTTTCTCCTTTGCTTGTGGCTTTCCCCCTCCCATTTGCCCCCTCCCCTCCCCACACAGACGCCTTGCTGGCAGATCTGGAATCCACTACCTCCCATATCTCCAAACGGCCGGTGTTTCTGTCGGAGGAAACCTCGTATTCCTATCCAACTGGAAATCACACCTACCAAGAAGTTTCTCTGCCTCCGCCGGTACCACCTCCACCTACCACCGAGGCCTTAAACGGGACCGTCAGCATCTCTTTGGAGCAATGGAACCCCGTCCTTCCGAGAAATCCTCCCCAACAGGTAATTTGACGATTCTTGTTGACTTTGGGTTAAAAAGGTGTTATCGTGGTCATCGGCGGCCAGTGAACAGAGTTTGCCAATCAGGAGATGAGAGTTAGGAGAACGTCATTGGATTTTTCTAAAGTTATACTTTAGGGACGCGGGTGGCTCAGTGGCTAAGACGCTGAGCTTGTCGATCGAAAGGTTCGGTAGTTCGGCAGTTCGAATCCCCAGCGCCGCATAACGGGGTGAGCTCCCGTGACTTGTCCCAGCTTCTGCCAACCTAGCAGTTCGAAAGTACGTTAAAAAAAAAATGCAAGTAGAAAAATAGGGACCCCCTTTGGTGGGAAGGGAACAGCGTTCCGTGGGCCTTTGGCGTTGAGTCATGCCGGCCACGTAACCACGGAGGAGGTGTCTTCGGACAGCGCTGGCTCTTCGGCTTTGAAACGGAGATGAGCACTGCCCCCTAGAGTCGGGAACGGCTAGCACCTATGTGCAAGGGGAACCTTTACCTTTAAAAAAATGTTAGCATGGTCATTGGCAGTGGTGCAGCAGTGAACAGAGTTTGCCAATCAGGAGATGAGAGGTCTTCAGTTATGAGATCATAATTGGCTTTTTCTAAAGTTATTCTTTGGGATCCTGTCGCAATGATCATCTTTGCAAGGACATAAATTGAGGCAAGAGTCAGTCGTGCTGTGGCCGCTGTTTGAAAAGGGTTCCTTTATTTGTAGACCAGAGATTTAGAATAACAAGAGTTGGAAGGGACCTTGGAGGTCTTCTAGTCCAACCCCTGCTTAGGCAGGAAACCCTACACCACTTCAGACAAATGGTTATCCAATCTCTTCTTAAAAACTTCCAGTGTTGGAGCATTCACAACTTCTGGAGGCAAGGAGTTCCACAGGTTAATAGTTCTCACTGTCAGGAAATTTCTCCTTAGTTCTAAGTTGCTTCTCTCCTTGATGAGTTTCCACCCGTCGCTTCTTGTCCTGCCTTCCGACCAAAACAAGACTCATTCCCACCATCCTCGTCAAACAAACTATCCAGCAAGGCTGCATTGCTGTATTCTTCTCCTTTTTGAGTCTGTGCTGAGAGAGAATCCAAGGAATGGGTTAAACTTTTTTTGCCTCCTTCCATTCCCAAGACCAGGGGTGGGTCTTTTTTTTACTAACAGTTCTGTGGGCGTGACTTATTTTGTGGGCGTGGCTGGAGGTCATGTGACTGGATGGGCATGGCTAGCTGGTCATGTGACTGGGTGGCCATGGTGATAAGATCGGGCAAAAAACGTAAAATGTGAGGACAGTCGTAAGTTCGAGGACGGTCAAAAGTGCGAGGACCAGTCAAAAATAACTTTTTCAGCCCTCTGAGTAGTCCATATGCACAAAAGGACTACCCAGAGGGTTGAAAAAAGTCATTTCTGACAGGTCCTCGCACTTATGACTGGTCCTCACACTTATGACCATCCTCACATTTATGCCCGTGCAGCATTCTTAACAACCATGTCACTCATTTCACAACTGCTTCTCTTCACCATGGTGATAAGATAGGGCAAAAAAAAACGTAAAATGGGAGGACCGTCGTAAGTTCGAGGACTGGTCAAAAGTGCGAGGACCAGTCAAAAATCACTTTTTCAGCCCTCTGAGTAGTCCATATGCACAAAAGGACTACTCAGAGGGCTGAAAAAAGTGATTTCTGACAGGTCCTCGCACTTTTGACCGGTCTTCGCACTTATGACTGGTCATCATTTATGCCCATTGTAGCATTCTTAACAACTGTGTCACTTCTTCCATTCCCAAGACCCTCCTCAAACAAACTATCCAGCAAAGCTGCATTTCTGTACTCTTCTCCTTTGTGAGTCTGTGCTGGGAGAGAATCCTAGGAATGGGTTAAACTTTTGCTGCCTCCTTCCATTCCCAAGACCCTCCTCAAACAAAACTATCCTGCAAAGCTGCATTTCTTCTCCTTTTTGAGTCTGTGCTGGGAGGACTCCAAGGAATGGGTTAAACTTTTGTTGCCTCCTTCCATTCCTCCTCAAACAAACTATCCTGCAAAGCTGCATTTCTTCTCCTTTTTAGTCTGTGCTGGGAGAGACTCCAAGGAATGGGTTAAACTTTTGCTGCCTCCTTCCATTCCTCCTCAAACAAACTATCCTGCAAAGCTGCATTTCTTCTCCTTTTTAGTCTGTGCTGGGAGAGACTCCAAGGAATGGGTTAAACTTTTGCTGCCCCTTCCATTCCTCCTCAAACAAACTATCCTGCAAAGCTGCATTTCTTCTCCTTTGTGAGTCTGTGCTGGGAGAGACTCCAAGGAATGGGTTAAACTTTTGCTGCCTCCTTCCATTCCTCCTCAAACAAACTATCCTGCAAAGCTGCATTTCTTCTCCTTTTTAGTCTGTGTGCTGGAGAGATTCAAGGAATGGGTTAAACTTTTGCTGCCCTTCCATTCCTCCTCAAAAAACTATCCTGCAAAGCTGCATTTCTTCTCCTTGTGAGTCTGTGCTGGGAGAGATTCCAAGGAATGGGTTAAACTTTTGCTGCCCCTTCCATTCCTCCTCAAACAAACTATCCTGCAAAGCTGCATTTCTTCTCCTTTGTGAGTCTGTGCTGGGAGAGACTCCAAGGAATGGGTTAAACTTTTGCTGCCTCCTTCCATTCCTCCTCAAACAAACCATCCTGCAAAGCTGCATTTCTTCTCCTTTTTGAGTCTGTGCTGGGAGAGACTCCAAGGAATGGGTTAAACTTTTGCTGCCTCCTTCCATTCCTCCTCAAACAAACCATCCTGCAAAGCTGCATTTCTTCTCCTTTTTGAGTCTGTGCTGGGAGAGACTCCAAGGAATGGGTTAAACTTTTGTTGCCCCTTCCATTCCTCCTCAAACAAACTATCCTGCAAAGCTGCATTTCTTCTCCTTTGTGAGTCTGTGCTGGGAGAGACTCCAAGAAAATCCAGAGGAATGGGTTTAAACTTTTGTTGCCACTATCCAGCAAGGCTGCATTGCTGTATATTTCTCCTTTTTGAGTCTGTGCCTGCTGGAGAGTGAATCCAAGGAATGGGTTAAACTTTTGCTGCCTCCTTCCATTCCCAAGACCCTCCTCAAACAAACTATCCAGCAAAGATTGCATTGCTGTATTCTTCTCCTTTGTGAGTCTGTGTGTGCTGAGAGAGAAAATCCAAGGAATGGGTTAAACTTTTCTCTGCCTTCCTGCTCGTCAGACTGAGTCATTCAAGCCGAGCCACGCCTCTCCTGTGTCGACTTCCCCTTTTGCTGATTCTTTCCAACTGAGGCCTTCAGCAAGGATAGACGCCTTTGTCCTCTGCTCCTCCTCCGGATCATTCCACCCTGAGAAGAGAGAATTTGAAGGACCCCCCCCCATTTCCCTCTCCCCCACTTCTACAAGCAGGAGGCCGAGCCCCAGCAAGCGTCCCTTTCTCCTTGGAAAGCCTTTTGAGGTCCCTTTTGGAACATTGCGCAGTCCTTGCAAAAAAAGGGAGATTCGGAAAGGATTTGAGTCACTGCCCGGGTTTTTCCGGCGCATACTCCTGCAAACAAGCCACATTTCCAACCCAGAGACCACGTCTGCTTTCTCCGAGCCTGGAAAATGGAGCCGACCGCAGCGGGAGACAACCACGAGGAAAACGTGAGTGGGGAAGAACTGACTTTACCGGCCCCCAAGCCCCGGGTTTTAAAGAAACGCGCCTCTGCCAAGCCCAACTTGGCTATTAGAGGAGCTGCGGCCAGAATTAAGGCGAAGGCATTGCTCTCCTCCAGAAAGGCCACCAAGGCCGAGGATTCCTCCGCCCAAAGCCGCCCGAAGGCCTTAGACAGAGACATAGTTGCCAACGCAGAAAGGGAGGCGGTGCGAGAGAGCCCCCCGGTGGACGAACTTAACAGTTCCCGCGCTTCTCAACCGTCACAACCTCTAACAAAAGAGGTCCGTCAGGCGACTGGCCTGACTTGGTCGCCGGATGGCGCCGGAGAACAACTTTCTCAGCCCGAGTTAGAACCCGATGAGCTCATGTCCCTTCCTTCTGTTTCAAATCTACTCCCATCCGAAAGCCCTTGGGAGGAGCCGGCTCCTAAGAGGGCAAAGCCGACCCCAGAGGCTACCTTCACTCCTACAGCGGCGGGACTCCGCCCGAAGGAGGCGCAGGAGCCGGAAATCTCCCCACGAATGAGGCTGATCATCTCACAGGCTATCGCTCAGGGCATTGCCGCGGGCATGCAACAGAACCGACCGGCAGCCTCTCCAGCCCCTGAGAACCCTGTACCCCAGGGGCAGCCTCCTGCGCCCGATAATACAAGGGACTTACCCGTCACAGGGCTCTTCCGCCCTGCCTTGTTTAAGTCACTTCTCTACAAAGCCAAGACCACAGCCCGTCTGGGAATGGACCCAGCCGAGTCAGATCCGGCTTTGGGTTTATCTGACCCCAATAATTTGTTGTTCTCAGAGCCTGCCACCGATAACGAGGAGATCCCCTCCCCGAAATTGTTCCTGGATGTTGTCCAGCGACAATGGGCCGTACCAGGGGGATATCCGGCCGCAAGCTCGATTGACAAGCGTTTGTACAATGTGGCCCCAAATCTCTCTGAGGCACTACAAATGCCATCAATCGATGCGCCCGTGGCAGCCTTAGCCTCCTCCACCATGATGTCCAATGACGCGGAGGACGCTTTAAATCCAGAAGACAGGGAGGGCGGAGCTGACACTCCGCAAAGTCCACAATTCGGCGGCCTGGTCGGTTAAGTCGGCTACGGCTGCTTCCTTCTTCAATAGAACGTCCTTGCTCTGGCTCAAACAGCTGCAAGACAGAATCCCAGCCACCGACGTCCGCAGTCACCAGGACCTCAACAAGCTGATAGCAGCAGCAGAATTCTCTGCCGATGCCACCCTGAACACGGCCAGATTTGCTTCCAGGGCCATTGCCTCCGCCGTGACGGCCCCGACGACTGCTGTGGCTCCGTCACTGGCAGGCAGACATGAAGTCCAAGTGGAAGTTGGCTTCTGCCCCCTTCAAAGGCGATAAGC